GTATTACAACTAAAACCATTTTTGACGCCGCCACCGCAGTTTGTCCTTCATGAGCCTTCGTAGACAAGATGGCGGCTGCCTGTAGTGGCGACCCACGACCATGGAGATATAAACAGCTTTTTATAAGGTAAAAATAATAAAACAAGGTCTTTGTCTGCAATGATTATACATGTATTTTATTGTCATTAGTGATTATCTCAATTTYGGCTAAAAGAATTGACAAAATCCTACACATTGTGCCTTTAAACAATTTCATATTTCTTTGCCAATTTTGCTTTGATGATTTTTTTAAAAGGAATTAATTGATTCAGTGCTTTTATAATAATTTTCCTCATTATCCTTATAGTCTTTTACAGCAGCCAGCTCACTTTGTCATACCAGGACAGCTGAAAAGACCTGTTATTTCCTCACTGTGGGATCAATAAAAAGTTTTTTTTAATCTTACTTTCCCTCACCTTTTGCACCAAACTAATCTGAGGAATTGATCAGCCCTGCTATTTAACTCTAAGTTTTTCTTTGTAAACAAGACTGTATCAAATGGCTTCTCCAAAATCCGGTCCACAACATTCAAACTCTCTGCCATTATGTGCAGCTTGCTACCTAGCTAACTCGCTAGTTGGGGCTGGCGCAAGGCTAGAGTGAAGTGTGTCCGCCTTTGAGTGCTTTGTGACGGTGAAAGGGCTCAGCAGCAGCCGCTGGACAGAAGTCAGAAAGAGTGATAGAAGTCAATCTCCAAACACAAGCAGATACAAAAACACCCACCAGAAATAGAAGCTTGATTTGTTGCTAGTCGTTTTTAACAAAGAAAATGCTGCTAAAAGGATTAATAAAGTCTCCGATTCAACTCGGAACAGAAACGAAAGTAAAAACTGCTCCCATGGAATGTTTACACCAAAAAGATCGCTGATTCGCTCATTTCGCTGTCAATTAAAAAGGTATTCAGCCTCCGACAGATCATCCAATCATCATGCAGACGCTGAGAGTCCGACCCAGCCCCCTGCCACATAGACCCCCAGAGACGATCAGCGTCTGAATTTATCCAGTGACTCGTCTCGTTTAGCTGCAGTCTTTGCATCGCTAATGAGCTCTGTAGACGCTCAGCGCCCGACTGTTTAAAGCACTGTGAAGCTGCGGGAATGAGTGAAATGAGGAAAGCCTCGTCGTTACTAGTGATAAGATGCTGATTTTGAACAAAAGTTGAGCCCGTTGTAGCGCATATTTAGTCAATGACATGTACACACAACAGTATATATTTGATCTTTTTTTTTTTTTACATTTTAGGGGAAGCTGAGCTTCCCTTGCAGTCTAAAGGGCTCGACACATGGGAGGCGACGTCGCTCGCTCTCCATTCATTTCCTATGGAGCCTGTGCGGTGAGTCGACAGTCGCTTGCCCTCATCCAGACAAGCGACCGGCAAAAATAGTGCATGTGAAATTTCGCGCTCGTACACTTAGACTTGCACACGCGAGCTTGCGACGCGACATATGAAAGTTGAAAAATGTTCAACTTTTGTCACTGTCGCTTAGCGTACAACCAATCAGCRAGGGTTTCATTGACTGACCAATGAGAGGAGAGTATGCTACACACTGCCGTTAGCTAACACTTTCACCAAGTGATTACTAAAAAGCTTTCTGGGAATTTGTTGGCACCAGGGTGAAGTTTATGGTAAGTTTTTCCTCGTAAAACTGTATCTTGATGTGTGTTTGTTTTTCAATGTCATTAGCATCGCAAGATTTGTTTAGTTTACACGTCCGTAATGCACACCCGCCTTCAGAGTCAAGAATCAATCAAATTTCGTGAAGACAAGCGACCTGAGAGCGCAATTCGCAACGTTGCGATCGCTATCGCGTCCCGTGTGTCGGGTTTCACCCTGGCTGGATGACAGTCGTTAATCGCTGTAGTTTGTCGCTCCCCGTGTGTCGAGCCCTTAAGAGCAATCGCCTCTGCTCTGGAGATGACACAACAACACATTTTAATAGCTTGTTTTGTTGAATTAGATTCATATGACTGATGTTTGATACAAATGAGGCTGTGAACAATATAATGTGGAAATGTGTTCTCATGTWTTTTAAATGAGCATGTGTGTTGTCTTGTCTTGTTTTCTGCATCAGATGTAACCTGTAAACAACAAAAAAGGAACTTATGTGTCGTTTGATCAGTACAAATCATCTGAAGACTTGACAGCAGTGATGGTCAAATGAAGCTCATCTGAAGTTTGTTCAGATAAAAATAAGTTTTTTTTACTCAAAGCATTTAAACCCAGCTCTCTTTGGTGAATCTTGTGGCCAAAAGTCTAAAGAGCATTTTGACCCACCAACTGTGGTTGTTATGTTGTTTAACATCGTGAGACATTTCAGTCTGACATCAGGCTGTCACTGTGCAGATTTGAACAGGTATTTGTTGTGGGTGTAAAAATAAAGAAATGGTATTTATTTGTCTGAAACTGGTTTTGTTTTGCATCTTCAGCTTCAAACGGGTCATCATTGAGAATAATTCATTTTTTCTTCACTTATTTTCCTCACAGTGTATGCTGAACATATGTTGCCTCTTGTCCTCCAGGTCCTCGGTGGTTCCACAGGTCTGTTTGGGGGTCATGCGTCTCAGCACCAGCCCCCCCACCTGCGGCAGCAGCAGAGGAATCTCTCTGTACACGAGTACATTAGCATCGGCCTGCTCAAAGARGAAGGCATCTCTGTTCCTGTCGGCTTGGTGGCCAGCTCCCCCGAGGAGGCTTACGCTGTGGCCAAGCAGATCGGTAAGAGACCCTGAGCCTGAACAAGGTGGCCAGACCAGTTTTTGTGGTTTACGGTGTAGAAAGTCTCAGTTCTTCAGTTACCTCTTGCCTCAGCGGTGTCAGCTAATGGAACATGGTGCCCAGCTGTCTGGTTGTGTTGTTTCTGGCACATGCAGCAGTATTAGTTGCCTCTTATGAAAATCAGTAAAGAACTTGAGACATAATGCTTATTTGTTTGTGTTGGTGTGTTAGGCTCAAAGGACCTGGTGGTGAAAGCTCAGGTGCTCGCTGGAGGCAGAGGAAAGGGGACGTTTGAGGGTGGGCTGAAGGGAGGAGTAAGAATAGTTTACTCGTAAGTATCTGCTGTCTGCTGAACTGGAGAGCCTCCAAACTCATTCCTAACAGTATAAATACTACTGATGTAAAAGTACAGTACTGTTACATCAGTAGTATTAATGTAACAGTACATGCACTGGTATTTAACCATCACAGTACTCCAGTGAGAGTGATCAGATGAAACTGTCACAAATAATGATTACTCCTGTCGAAGTGKGTACATGTGGTGTTTTATGTTTAATATATTTGCTAACAGCTACAACAGAAAATAAACAGGAATATGTCCGTAAACAATTCATTATAAATAAAATACATTTTCCCTGCTGTATTAAACTATAAAACTGATTCACTAAATAAGAAAAAAAGTGATTTTATGTTTTTTAATTTCAGTTGAAGTCTGAACTCTTTGTCATGTTTTTTTCTTTCTTGCAGCCCAGAGGAGGCCCGAGACATTTCATCTCAGATGATTGGTAAAAAGCTGTACACCAAACAGACCGGGGAGGCAGGTCGGATCTGCAACCAGGTGTTCATCTGCGAGCGTAGGTATCCACGCAGAGAGTACTACTTCGCCATCACCATGGAGCGGTCCTATCAGGTGAACAAACACACAAACACGTACTCTGAGCTGCTGGGTGTGGGGTCTCCAATAATAAAGTAGCCTGAAAATGAAAACAATAATTTCTGTTTTTTAGAGGAAAAGGTTTTTTGTAGGAGCAGGAAGTAGTCTGACAGTCAGTGTGTCTCACAGCTGGTGTCAGAGAAATAAAGGAAAACTGCTGTTGTAGTGAAACAGAGTTATAACACAAAAAGCCCACACTAGTTTTTAAACATTCACTCTTGTGGAATCAGTCTAATGTTGTTTGACAGATTTCTGACCTGTTTCAGTTTTAATGTAAAGATGTATTCTGCTCTTTACAGGGGTGGAAAATGACAGTAAYGCCTAATCAGCTCAAACAGATTAATGTTATAATGCTTTTATAAAAGATGTTGTAAATCACAGACAACCAGCTAAATGTTAAAAGTGTAGGGAACTCCCACATCAACCCTCTGCTGAACAACAAAAGATGCAAAACAACCAGAGTCCAGAGGATACAAATGATTGAATAAATTAATAAACTGAGATTATGTAATATGAATCTCAGTAGAAGAAAGTTAACCTGCAGCTTCTTCTCACAAAAAAATACTTATTGTTGCAATAAAACAGTTTAATTTGACATTAATGTGTAAAATCAGAGGTTCATCAGTCTGGAGTGGTCATTAAAGTATATTTCCACCACTAGATGGCAGCAGAGTTTTAAATGTAAAGACGTTTCAGTTTTTTCACATATTTTACATTTTGATGACAAGCTAACTGGTGTTTCAGAGCCTCTCGTCAAYGTTGCATGAATCTGATTTAAATCAGCTGAAAACAACGTGGGCAGAGTGTGAACATGCAGCTTATTAAAGCATTCTCTAATTAACAGTCTGGATTTATTGATACACTTCCCAACATCATTTTGGACAGATTCTCTCTCACTCTCTCTTTGCATATTTACCGTGTAATATTTTGCTTTGGACTGACTCAGATATATAGTCCCTTCTAAAAGTATTGGAACAGCAAATCAAATTGTCTTTTTGTTGTTCACTGAAGACATTTGGGTTTAAGATCCAAAGACGAACAGGAGACAAGATTTCAGAATGTCAGCTTTTATTTCCTGGCATTTACATGTAGATGTGTTAAACAACTTAGGATTTATCACAGTTTGTATTACACCAGAGCATTTTTAGGTGAGCAGAACTATTGGAACATACGATACGATACGATACAACACAACACAACACAACACAACATCTACTCTTTGGCTTGGTTTTAAACCTATAAAGAAGGCATTTCTTGTTAAAGAAACATGTAGACTACAGAGCTGTCTATGGGAGGAAAGCAAGCCATTTTGAAGCTGAAAAAAGGAAAATCAATCAGAGCCATTGGGCATAGCAAGCACAACAATCTGGAATGTCCTGAATAAGAAAGAAACTACTGGTGTACTGAGCAGCACACGTCCAACAGGTCGGCCAAGGAAAACAACAGTAGTTGATGACAGAAATATTGTGAGAGCTGTGAAAAAAAGTAATAAAATAAAATAAAAACATCAGTAATCGACATCACCAATGACCTCTATAGTTCTGCTCTCTGAATCTTCTTTGAACAGTGGATTGTGATACCTTYACCCCTGAACTGTGGAGATCATTGGTGATATCGATTGCTGATGTTTCTTTTCTTCTTCACAGCTCTCACAATATTTCTGTCATCAACTACTGTTGTTTTCCACTCATCAGTAATAAGAATCAGAAGGCCAGATTGAAATTTGCAAAGAAGTACAGAGATGAGCCAAAAAAGTTCTTGAAGACAATCTTATGGGCCGATGAGACMAAGATTAATCTCTACCAAAGTGATGGAAAGGCCAAAGTTTGGAGAACGAAAGGAACTGCTGATGATCTGATGCACACAAGCTCAGGTCGCAGGATTGAGGCAGTCGTTGCAAACAAGTGTTCTGCCACCAAATTAGGGCTGCAACTAACGATTATTTTAATAATCGATTAATCTGTCGATTATTTTTTCGATTAATCGGCCAAATCATTAAAACACTTAATTACATAAATATGAGTAGATAAAAATAAATTTCATTCCTGTATAAATTAAGGATGCAAGTTATTAATAAATTAGTTAATCTGAAGTTGATTTATCTTATAGATTGACTAACGATTAATTATTTTCTTGTCATCACACATGTCCTCCTGTCCTCATACATGTCCTCCTGTCCTCACACATGTCCTCCTGTCCTCACACATGTCCTCCTGTCCTCACACATGTCCTGCTGTCTTCATACATGTCCTCCTGTCCTCACACATGTCCTCCTGTCCTCACACATGTCCTCCTGTCCTCACACATGTCCTCCTGTCCTCACACATGTCCTC